CATACTATTCTTTTTTCCTAGCAAATTTATCTTTAAAAATGGGAAGGAGGCAGCTAGAGGGTCGACAAAGATACGGATCAGAGTGGGAGGCACCACCATGCATTCTGGGAAGGAAGGTGTATGCGTAGAAACCAGGCTGAACTGCCTCTTTGGCAGAACGTCTCAAAATTATTTTCTACATCCTTTGTTTAGTAGCTGAGAGTGAATTAAATTTTTGGAAAGCCCCCGTGAGGAATGGCGGCAGGAACCTTCAGAGTTTCTAATGGCTCCATTATCTGAGGGAATGCCTTTCTTTCTTTCAGCTATTTGGACTGGATTTAAGAGCACTAAACATTTCCTTATTCTTTGTTTTCCCCCTTCCCTGCCCCCTTCCTCTCCCTCCCTCTGAAAAGCTGAGGTACAGTTATTTTTAATTGCACGTTTAAAACTGAGCTGAGTACTTTGTTTTTGAACTTGGCCCAATGATTATAGTTTAAGGGGGCCTGTTTCTACCAGAAGTTTTTGTTTTTTTCTTTCCTTGAAATTTTATGCAGAGAGCTTGCTCAAGAAATGCTGCTTATCTTTAAGCAAAGCAGCTCTGCACTAATAACCAGGGTGTTCAAGAGAAGGTGAGAGTACGTTTTAATTTCCTTTTGAGATAATCAGGAGGCAACAAACTTGGTCCCAGATGAAAGAACCTTTGCAAGAATTCAGCAAAATAAAGTAGACTAAGATACAAAGTTGCCAGGTGGAAGTACCTAAGCCACCAGCTTTTCTGGAGGGCTTGCAGCTTCGCCCCTCACCCTCGGAGTTGGTCAGAGTTTTCAGAAAAGATGCTCTAAGAAAGAAAACAAAAATAATTTTAGTAGCCACGGGATAGGGACGGAGGAAATGATGTTTAAATCCCTGAACCATTGGGACATCTCCCTCTCTCCATGGGTGTCCCTAGATCTCGGAGAGGCCTTGGGCGGTCTAGGATCTCCTCTCCCAGCGGCGAAAAGGTGGGGGCTGTGGCGGCGGCGGCAGCACCTCGGTGGGGTCTCCCCGCACCTCCTAGGGCTCCCCCAGCCGAACCCCAGGGCGCCGGAGCTTCGATGCAGACTGCTTTCTCCTTCCCCTCCAGCCCTCGCCCAGAGCCGCAGGCCAGTAAGGGTAGGCCCGAGGGCGCTCGGGGAGAGCAGGGCTACGCTGGCCTCCCCGAAGCCAACCTGTTCAGCAGGGAGGGAAAGACTCCATCCATCCAGCCTGGAGTGTGAGACTCAGGGTGACAAACGCCAGCCTCGCTCCCTCCCCAGCGGCCCTTTCGAGCTGCCTGAGCTCCAACTTCTGAAGCAATCAACTCTATTAAAATCAAATTTATAACCCCTAATAATATTAAGCAAAATTATTAAAATAATTGGCATATGTTACTGGTCCTTGGGAGAGTTCACTGAACACATTATAAGCTGTAAGGAAAATCGTTTAGGGTTTTCTAAAGTCCCTTACCCCCGGGGGGTGGGGGAGAGAGGAAGGAGTCAGATTAAATATTCATCATAACTCTGGGCAAGAATGCACCGGTCTGTTCCAAATGTTTTCAACTTTTTAATTTGGGAGGTGGGAATTGTTAGTTTTGAGACATCTCCCAAATCTGAGAAGGGTGGAATAAGATGTAGGGGGGCAACTTTCCCATCACCTCAAGGTCTTGGGGGCTTTTCTTCTGAGTTGAGGCAAGAAGGAAGAAGAGAAGCCTCTCACGGCATTGGGGTCCCGTCGCTTTCCAGATCTGAGAGTCGGACGGCCGCCCGAAAGGCTCCTTAGGTCGCTGGGCCTGACCTTAGTTTTCAGTAGGAAAATAAAAGGTGAAGACGAACCCGGCGGAGAAGACCACAGCCTAGAACTGGTTTCGTGGCCCACCCTAGGATGTACGGAGCCAGGGGGAGCAGCGTCCCTCCAAAATGGCTCCCAGTTCCTCCGCCCTCGCTTCCCGGGCTTTGTCCGGACGAATCACCAACCCGACGGTGTGGCCCAGTCTCCCTCTTTCGCCCTTCGAATCCTGGGCACTGGACGAACGGAAAGGGAGATGGCAAAACCGTGAAGAGGACCAGCGATGTCAGATCGCGCGCAGGGGCTGGTAGAGCCTCCTGGAGCGGGGTGCAGTGGGGTAAGCGCGACCCCCCTCCAGCCCCCACGTCGAGACGGGCCTGAATGCTAACCTGCCCTTGCCTCGACTCCAGAGCCACAACACTGAAGCCCGTCCTCGCCTCTCTTGGGGACCCAGAGCGGCAGCGGACGGAGGACCGAGTCTGGCCGCCACCGCCGTCAACTTGAACTTCAGGGCTCCCAAGGCCGCGCCCCGCGCGCTGCCCTCCATCCACCCCCCGAGTAACTGCCCTCATCGGGGAGTCGCTTTATCCGGAGGCAGCTGGAGCCCCCTCGGGAGGCCCATCATTATTATTATTAATTATCGCGATCCTCACTGCATTATTAATGACCACAGTGATAACTGGCATTGCTATCAGCTTCTCCTAGTTCAGTGATGTCCTCTGAACTCCCTGGCGGGGAGGAGGTCACTCCCAGGACAGAGCCCGCGTCCGTTCTGCTCCGGACTTGAGCAAAGAGAGGCTGGTAGGGCCGAGCTCGGGCAGGACGCGAGGAAAGGAAACGCGTCCCAGCCCCGCGCGCCCACCCCACAACGCCCCGGCCCCTTTCCTCCCGCCGGCACCTTCTTCGCTCTTCCTCCCCCCACCCCCAGCCCCTTTGTCTCTTTTTCGGACGGATGTTTTCAGTCTCAAGTGGTTTTATCTTCCTCACAAAACCCTGAGATCAAGGGCAGATCACCGGCGGGACCGGAGGCTCGGGTTTCCCTGAACTCTGCTATTCTCCCGCGTCCCTGGGGGTCGGCTAGGAAGGCCTGGGCCCTCAAAGTGACCGGTCCTTTGCCTAGTCGGTGAGGCCGGGAGAGGTGTGTTCCAGTAGGTCCCCGGTGGGCTCCTTAGTAGCTTCAGAGACGCGCGGGGACCCACGAGGTACCCACTAGAGACAGATTCGAGTCTTGCCCCTCCCCAAGTCGTGCCACCAGATAACCAGATAAAGGGAGCATTAGGCTCTCTTCCAAGGGCTAAGAAATGAAGGCCTCAAAATAACACCCCATCAAGAGTTGAACTGTGGAATGCGTTGCATTTTAATTTTTTTCTTAAATAGACACGTGCCCGAAAAAGCAACCCTCAGGATCCAAAGTGGGGGTTCAGTACATACTCGTGCATTGATTGATTCCAGCCTGGTACCACTCTGGTACCACAGGAACTTGGAGCCCCTTGGCCCACTAGCACTCCAAGTGGAACTCAATGAATGGTTTTTATTTTTAACTGGCAGCTCAGAACCCGGCCTACAGAAATGTCATCCTTCCCTTCCCTCCCCAAACACCCCCCCGACCCTTCGCCCCACTCCCTGCTGACTGTCACTGGGTTTTTATTTTAGGGGAAAATCTCCTCTCCAGACTGGATCTAGGGGTAAATCATGAACCCTCAGGCTCGATGCTCAGGGCATCTTCAAACGCAAAGGCACCCGTGTAGTTTTGCACCGGGTGTTACAAATGAGGACTCCTGTACTCAATAACTCGAGCAGCCCCGGGGTCCGAGTTCATGGTCAAGGCTGTGGGGGTGACTTGCACCAAAGCCTGCAGGCCCCGCCCTGCTCCTGAACTGCCAGGCCCAGCTTTTTGGCAGGGACTACCCCCGGCCAGAGTCTTCCCACTGCTGTCTCACCTCTCCAAGGGACGTCCAGGGACCCTGGGTGCTGAGGCCACCCTGCCGCCCTCTCAATTTTCTTTTTGTTTCCTGGAGCCTTTCACCATTAGAAGAGGTGCCACTTTGCTTTGCCTTCTCCTGCTCTAGTCCCTGCCGGTGACCAGCATCCCTCTTGAACGAGGGAGTTCGGAGTGGCCATTAGGCAGGGGCTGGGGATACCCCCTCACTTGCACACGCACATGCACACCCACACCCAGACACACTATCTCCACACCCCAGCACACGCCATCCGCTCACACATGCCGACCTGTGGCTCCTGCATCTCCCAGCCACCTCCTCGGCTGGATGGAAAGGACCTGACGCTGACGAGTGGGAGGAGGACTCTGCAAGGCATGCTCCCCTCACTCTTCGGTTCATTCTCATCCCCCTCACCCCTTTCAGTCGTCGTAACTCAACCCGGAGGGGACCAGGCCTCCCTAGCACTCTCCACCCAACCTGGCTTCAAAAGGGCACGGTCAGCTGGAACTCCCGAGGCCTGACCCGGCACCTCAAGTCTCCAGCGGGGTGGGATGGGTGGAGGTGGGGGGCTAACTGCAGTTGGGGTCTCCCAGGCCCACTCCATGGGCGAGGCTGCCCTGAACACCTGCGCGCCCTCCAGGTGGGGGAGAGGGGCGCCACCTTCCTCTCAGTTAATCCTGGAATGAGGGGAAACTGACTACCGCCCCCCCATCTCCCAATCCTGCCTCAGCCCCCCCCCCAACCAGGTTTTCTCCATCCCAAAGCCTGTGCCAGTGGCCCTGGGGAGCGGAACGCAGCTCAGCGCAGAGCAGCTAGAGAACGTGGGGGGTAGGAGTAATAATAATGTTAATATAATGTCAAAGATAATCATCGCAGTCAATGCTCCAAGGCTGGGCTGCTTCTCCGAGGCTGGCGGAGGCCTGGGAGGCTCTAGTCTCTCTAGAACTGGGAGTGGGCGTGGGGATCCATTTGCCAAAGGACTCAGGTTGCCCCTGCACAAAAACCTAAACCTCTGGTCTGGACCCAGGAAGAACCAGCCAGGGCCTGGCAGGAGTTGCCCTGGAGCCTCTTGCTGCAGGCAAGGATTTTTTTTTTTTCCACCTTTCGACCCACTGGGGCCACAGCGGTTAGCGTGGCTGAGTGTGGTTTCCCGAAACTCTTCCGAGTCGGTTGGGTCTGCGTGCCCGCGGGCCCCAGCCCTGCCCGCCTGGCTGTGTCGCCGCCTGCCCTCGCGCCCGTCCTCGCAGGCGAGGAATGGTGGATTTAATGAGCGCGGGC